CCTCGTCGAGGTGCCCCAGCTGCGTGAAGAGGTCCTCGAGGTCAGGCGCGGTCGTTGCCGGGCCGGCGAGGGAGTCCCACGTCACCGCGTGTGGAGTGGGGTCCCCTCCCCCTCCCCTCCCACCCCGCGGCGCCGCGAGCGACGACGACGCCGACGCCGACACCGTTAGCGCGGGCGCGACGGAGGGCTTCGACGCGAGCGTTGGGATCTGCTGCAGGAGGCTGTGCTGGATCCCGGTGAGGGCGTTGTCCTCGCCGGCGTCGCGGCCGGCAGCGGCCCGCGAGGCCTGTTTTTGTTGCTCCGTTAGGTCGACCAACAACGCGCGCGACTTTCGCTGCACCCGGGCACGCGCTTGATCCTCAAGCACGTCGATGGGTTCGAAGGGTTCCTCCTCATCGCCGTCCTCGCTTCCCGCGTCCTCGGACTTTGACTGTTTGTAGCGCCGGTCTTCCTCCAGAGCCTTCCGCATTCGCTTCTCCTGCCGCGTTGAGAGTGTCCCCGACTCGATCGCCTCGCGGTTGCTCTCGAGCTTCGCGAGGAAGCTCGCCTCGGCGAGCTGTCGCTGCCGTTCTTTGCGAAGACCTTTCTTTTGGTGCTGATTCGCCAGGCGCGCGACCGCCATCGTCAGCATCTCCTCCTCGTAGCGCTCCCCGTCAACGGTGTCGGCCTTGGCCGATTTTTCCTCGTGCGACCGCTTCGCCGCGCGCCGCCGTCGTCGTTCGGCGATGAATTCTTGAAGGCTTTGCGCCTGCTCCTCGTCGCCGCCCGTTCCTACCGCCTCTCGTGCTTTTTTCTGCTCGAACTCAAACAGATCACGGAGTTCAAGGTATTTCTGCTCACACAGCCACGCTGGCCGTATGTAGTGGCTCGAGGTGGTTGCCGTAAGTTGCTCTGATATCAGCCGCCATTGGTTAGGAAAGAGGGACTGCAGTTGTACAAGTTGATCCTCTTCGTCTGGTCTCCACACCTCCTCCAAACTTAGACGTGGATCAAGGTAGCTTTCCCAGCGTTCACGACATTGAGCAGCGGTTTTCTTGATGAGCATCGACGCCACTCGTTCCCAGTCACGCAAGCCATACTGCGCAAGAGCCGCTTTAAGGACTTGGTCCTCTGCATTCGTCCACGCGCCACCTTTGAAGTGCAAACGCGACATAATAATGTTTTTTCTAATCAAAAGAACAACAACAGTAACCTAACCCTTCCTTTTGGCGTTTATTATCTGCGTTTTTAAAATATTCTGTTAAAATGCGATATTGGTATCTGTCTTCGCCCACAGTTCCACCTATACGCCAAGCCTAGAAAAGATATTACGCAGATCAGGTCTCTGTATTTTCTCTAATTTATTTATCCGCACTTGTGGTTTGTTGAAAGATGGAATGAGAGAAATAAGATGAATAGGGTTGTCGGTCCTACACTTTCTTTGTAAATTCATTTTTTTTTTTACACACACACATTTATATACGTATATACCATGTCACTTAAAGACTCAGTTCGCAATAGACCCTGTGAATACTTTCAATTAGTCCCACCGTCGATGTTCTTATTTTATCCTTTAACGCGACACACTTCCTTCCACGATGTTCCGCTAAAGCTTGACAGTTTTTGATTCTATTAACGAGGGAAATCCATTTTCTTTCACACCAGTATCACCCTGAGAGGCGTGTATAAGAATACCGAAAATGTTCTCGCAAGGCATTCATTCCATTTCCCCAAACCGTAGATTCATGGGTTCGATGGGTGAGGGTACATCGTGAACCACAAACTCTCAAACATAAAGTCGCTATCATTGGGTCGTGCATATGCATAACACTCACGAAGGAAAACACGCCACCAGGGCAAGCACACGCATTCCTTTCATTCCTTTTCCTCAGAACGCTTCTCTTCTCTGTGTTGGTGCACTTCCTCCACCAAGAAGCGAAGCTCATCCGGCACCTGCAGCGATGAATCTCGAACCAGCCTTACCATGCGCTGCACATCGTCGTCATGAAGACGTGAGGATGACGTTGTGTTCGCAGCACCTTCCACTGCCCTATTCTTACCTTGATTCTGAAGCTGAAGCAGTTCTTGCCGCCACTCCCGCAATAATCTCTGATAGTAATAATGCATCACGACCTCATGGCCCACCCCAAGACGCACACACAGGTCAAACAGCTCATAATCGATGGGCGGGAGCCGTGGGAGGTGCGAGCGGGTTCGCGGATACCGCGCGAGTTTATCCGCGTTCACCACCAGCGCGTGCTCACGGAGGACGTTCGCATCGTTGCGGCCGAAGAAGCTCGGCGCGAGGTAACTCGGCCGCCCCTCGTCCTCCTCCGCGAGCGTCGGGGAGTACAAACCGATGCTACGGCTAGCGGAGGTGCCGCCAGGCTGCGCAGGCCTCACACGAAGCGCCGGATCCGCCTCAGACTTCGCAATATTTGAACCCAAGCCGGTGGTTGCGTCGGCCACCACGCTGACCGCTGCCTCTTCCTGGAAAAGTTGCGCGTGATCGTCGTCTGTCGGTTCCTCGTTGTCGTGCGGATCGAACAAGTCGGCGTCGTCTTGCCGTTGCGCCTGCCACGGCGTTTCGAGGGATTTTCGGGTTTGCTCCGCCTGCAGCGCGGCGAGTTCGCGCGGCGTCATCCACCGCTGCTCCTTTTCCGACAACCACACCTGAAGACGCGCCCCGTCGCCGCCGGTTTGATTTCCGCCTCCGTCCGCCGCCTCGCCGACCGCAACGCGATCGGAGTCGCTATTCAGCGGCCGATTCAGCCGGCGAAGGTGATACACGATCGTCTCCACCAAGGGCATCACGTATTGCGCGTGGAGCTGCGCTTTCGCCATGAGGTGCGCCTTCAACCCCTCACTGAGCTCCAACGTCAGCTGCAGGTCGGCGTCGGCGTCGACGCAGGGGCCGTGGACGCGCTCGTAGTCCTTTTCACTCTCGCGGAGGGCGTACTGGACGCTGCGGCGCAGCAGATGCCGTGGGGCCTCGAGCACGAAGCGCGGGATCTGATCGGGACCCGCATTCGGAGGAAACGAAGCCCCAACATCGAATCGCGCGTTGCCCTCCAGGACGCCGGGGGGATCCGACGGGAAGGGATCGAGATGGCCGTGCGTGTGCAGCTTGAACTCCGTCAGACCGGAGCGCAACTCGTCGTTCGGGAAGAAATGCTCCGCGACGGCGCGCGCGAGCTCGTTGTTCTTGAGCTTCAGGGCGACGTCCTCCCTGCGGAGGCCCCGGAAGGAGGGCGACTGCGCGACCGCAGGGGGCTGCGTCGCGACGAAAAAAAGTACATCGATGGGGATGATGATGCCCCCGCTCCAGAAGCGAACGGCCCCCTGCTGTTGCGTTTGCTTAGCATCCAAAACGAAGAGAAGACCTGGACGGACGGCATTCGATTTACCCCCGTCGTCGTTCTCGGGAGGCCCGCGCGCGTCGAGGCTTCCCTGGCGGACGGGTGTGGATACGACGCCGTAGGGATCTTCCTCCTCGTCCTCGTCCTTCGCGGGGCTTGCGCTACCGCGGTTGGGATCCGTTTCCAGCCCCACAGACCCTTCGCGTGCGGGGGTGGCGGCCTTGCCTTTCCCTTTCCCTTCCTCCTCTTCCAGGACGCTCCCGGAGAGCCCTCGCTGAACCTCCCACGGCAGCAGCGCCGTCCACAACTCGAGCGGCACGTTCTTCACGAACACATGCGGGCATTTCCCGCTTTCCCTCTCCTTCAGACGCCTATCCTTCCCCAACGCCAGACCCACGCGATCGGTAAAAAGGGGATCCCCGGGCTGCCGTCGCCACGCGGCGAGCCCTTTTTGAAGAGGGGTCTCCGCGATTCGTCCGCGCAGATCCGCATCGGCGAAAGGTGGTTGGGGTCGTCGTACCTCAATCCGGAGCGCGGCCGGGAAGGCTTGTTTTTGTTGCAAAGGCGTCTGCTCGGTGTAGCGTAGCCAATCGCGCAGAACGTGTTTCAGTGCGTTTACGTCTCGATTGACGGGAAGTCGGATGTGCGACCGCGCAATCTCGAGGCATGAGCTGTACATGGGGAAAAAGGCCACCCTTTTAGGCAATCATGCGACTTGGCGGTTTGTGCAGCAAAACACACACCTATCCCCAAGGATTCTAATGATGTGAAGTGAACGTTTTAATAAATTTGTATCGTTAACTTTCCTAGTTGCGAAGCTTCTATTCGTGTGCAGGAGTATCCTATCCTTCCATTAACGAAAATAGGCCTTTACCGTTTATTTACTTCGTATGTATGAGAGCCTTTTAAGTGAGAAATAGAAAAAGGAAGAAATTGAGGCGGCCATAAATGTATCGGTTGGAAACCCACCAATACACGGATCTGGTCATAAGTTCTTTACCTTTAATTTTCATTAATATCACTTTTATCAAAAAGTCAAACCGTAGGCATGAATTTATCTCCTTATGCTATATTCTTTCATAACAAGTGCCACTATTTTTTTCTTGCCGAAACCAATGAAATTGTTAAAAGTAATTTTTTTTGGAGGGTTGAGTGTGGGCCTATTAATTTTCAAGAAATACTTTGACAAATGAGTTCAACATTAGACAGCCAGACACATTGAAAAAAATCGCATAGCACCCACAGTTTGGAGCTATTTAACCAAGAAACCAACCTTTATTTTCTCTATATTTCCCTCTCTTTAGATGCCTCCCCCCCCCACTCCCCCTCCATTATTTTCTTCTTTTATACTCCCCTCATTTCTCTTGGTTACCACGTAACTCACAATTTCGAGATATCATGACTTCCACTCTCACGCAGTCCTGACCCTGTCATGCGCACGAAGCGGGCCTTTTTCTGCATCTCTGGGATGCTGTGCGCGCCGCAGTACGACATGCCCGAACGCAAACCGCCCACGAGCTGCTTGAGAATCGGCGCGAGCGGCCCCTTCACGGGCACGCTCCCCTCCACCCCTTCCGGCACGAGGTCGTTAAAGACGTCCTCGTCGAGGCGCTTCTCCCGCGTGGCCTTGCTGAGATTCGCGCCGAACCCCGCCATCCCGCGGATGATCTTGACCTTCTTGCCGTCCTTCACCAAGACCCGTCCGGGGGCCTCATCGGTGCCCGCGAGCATATTCCCGAGCATCACCGTATCCGCCCCGGCGGCGATCGCCTTGCTGATATCCCCGGCCGTCTTGACGCCGCCGTCGGCGATGCAGGGCACCCCATAGGCCCGCGCCACCCGCGTGCACTCCATCACCGCGGTGAGCTGCGGCACGCCGGAGCCTGCGACGAGGCGCGTCGTGCAGATGCTCCCGGGCCCGACGCCGATTTTTAAGGCGTCGGCGCCGGCCTCGATGAGATCCCGCGCGGCCGCCCCGGTCGCGATGTTCCCCGCGATGATATCCACCCCTTTCGTGATCGGGTTCGCCTTCAGCGCGCGGATCATATCCAGGCAGATGTCGCTGTGCCCGTGCGCGATGTCGACGACGAGGACGTCGGCCCCGGCCTTCACGAGGGCCTCCGCGCGGTGCTGATCCTCCGGTTTGATCCCGACGGCGGCCCCGACGAGCAGCCGGCCGCGCGCATCCAACGAGGCCATCTTGTTCATCGTCAGCTTCAGGATATCGGAGGAGGTGATGAGGTAGAGCAGGCGGTTGTCGGGCTGGACGACCGGGATGTTATGGGTGCGCGTCCGCCGCATCAACTCCCGCGCCTCCGCCAGGCTGATCTTCGCGTTCGTCGTCACGATCACCCGCTCGATGGGCGTCATGAGGGTGCGGACGAGGTCGGTATCGGCCGCGAATGTCAGGTCGGAGCGCGTGAGCACCCCGAGCATCCGCCGCTCGACCGGGTCGTTCACGACCATCAAACACCCCACGCCGCCTTTCCGCCCCGGCCAGTGCATCTGCTCCACCGCCTCGGCCTTGGTGGCGTCCGGCAGGATGATGCGGGGCTCCTCAATCAGGAAGGACTGCGCCCGTTTCACCTTCCGCACCATCGCACACTGCTCCTCGACGCCGCAAAAGCGGTGCAGGATGCCGATCCCGCCCTCACGGGCCATCGCCACGGCCGTTTTATCCTCGCAAACCGTATCCATGTTGCTCGCGACGATCGGGATGCGGAGGGAGATGTTGCGGCTGAGCCGCGTCGAGGTGTCGACGGCGCGGCGCGAGCGAACGGGGCTGTGCTGCGGGATTAAAAGGACGTCGTCGTAGGTGAGACCTTGCGGGAATGGGGAACCTTCGGAGATGGTAGCCATGGTTTGGTTTATGTGTGGTGTAGTGTTGCTTCTTTTTTTTCGTCCAATAAGTACAATAACTAGATAAGTAGTTCCACCCCCACCCCCATCCCCCCCCAAAAAAGAAAAAGGAAAAGACAAAAGGAAAAATATAGACTAACTAACGCCAAGCATACTCATTCTCAATTTCGTTTGATTAAATGTAGAGTTAAGCATACAATGACACAATGGAATCTAGAAGAAGTGAGGAAAAAGTGCACGCACGTACTGAGAGAGAGAGAGAGAGAGAGTAGGCACATGCTGAATTAAAATTGTGAAACATTAAAGACACTTTATTAAGCTCTGTTCGCGAGGTGGTGGTATTCCTAATAGTTGATCTATTACAATTCTTATATTTCACGAGAAATCGTAGTATAATCGTCATGAATCGCAAATACACCCATATGCAACTTTTCACAAATCGAACATAAATCTGAGGCATGGGGAGTCGTCTATCGGTGAGATCTAAAGGGGATGCTTACCTAGATATGAATAAACAAGCTGCCATGCATTCATATGTAGATATATGTATGTGGAGAGAGAGAGTTACGAGAGGTGCATATGCTTATTTTCTTTTTCCCATACACACTCACCTTGAACCAACGAAATCTATAAAAATAGAACCTCCACTTCTATTTACGTAGCCACGTCTCTTCTGCTTAGGGTCGCGTAGACCACACCAACTTGTTTTCGGAAAGCGGTGGAAGCTCAAGCCGATTAAGAGCGTCCATCAAGTCGTCCGCAGTGGAGGCCATAACGAACGTCGAAAAGACGTCTTCGGGAAGAAATCCCTCCGCCACCAGGTGCCTCAGCAGCGTCATAAAAGGCTCATAGAACCCATCCACGTTGAGCAGCCCGATCTTCGGGCGGTACGCGTCGAGTTGAAACAGCGTGAGCACCTCCAACAGCTCGTCGAAGGTCCCGATCCCCCCTGGTAGCGCCACGACGACGTCCGCGCAGGCAAACATGATGCTCTTCCGCTCCGACATCGTCTCGGTGTAGTAAACGAGATCGCCAATCACCTCATCCAGGGCCTCCACCGCGCAGAGGGGGCGGGGGATCACCGTGATCACAACCCCGCCGGCGGCTTTCGTCGCCCGCGCGACGGCCCCCATCACGCCGGCGGTGCCACCCCCATAGACGAGCGCCCGCCCTTCCCGCCGCGCGAGCCGCTCACCGAGCTGGGCGGCCGCCGCCGTATAGCCCGCCCGTCGTCCAACGCGCGCGCCACCAAAGACGAGCACGCCTTTCCGCAACAGCGGATGGGTCCTTTCCGCCCCTGGCGCGTTTTCCCCCTCCGCGGCGGCCTCGTCGTCTCCCCTTTGCGCCGTTTCGAAGGTCTCCACGCTCTGTGCGGCGACGTCGAGGCCGCGGAGGAGCTCGACGAACGCCGTGAAGGGCCCGCTCCGACGGTGCACCTCATCGAGATCGAAGCGGCTGTGGTAGCGCTCGAGGACGACGTACTTTAGGGGGACGAGGGCGCCCTCGTGGTAGCAGCGGTGGAGCTCATAGAGGAGCGCGCCGGGCTCGTTCGCGAGGACGTAACGCTGCAGCTTTCGGAAGCCCGAAAGGAAAGCCTGCGCGCTCTCCTCGGTGTTGAAGGTGACGGTGAAAACGACCGCGACGACCATGTCGGCTGATATATAAGTGTAGGCGTTATTGATTTTTTTTCTCTTGATTACCTTTGCTAGTTGGGATCACTAACCTTTTTCGAAGATCCGGCAAATCTGCTAGACAGATTTTAGTCGGGTCCAAAGAAGAAAGAAAAGAGCGAAACGGAGATGAGTCCAGGCATCAGTGATAGCCGAGAAACTCAAATGTGATCCTTACCATGCACCGTCTTGGTCTGCTACTTATGTGCCTCTGATTCAGAGCATTATTCACTCTTAGTCTGTAAAGTATAAATAAATACTTCCATATAATGTTCCTCATTGAGGGGATATAAGTTCATCTTCGATTGAACTGCGATAAATAAACTATAAACCCATACGTATATGGATACATATACATGCGATTAGCCACTATACAACAAACAAAAGCGAGTAAGGGCGAGTGCCCGTAGACAAACTCTATTTTAAAACAGCATTCCATTTCTTAACCCAGGCTCCTTTATTTTTTTTCTTTGATTATTTACACTCACAAATGCTTTCATTCAGAATTGGATTGTGGAGTGTGGGGGGTAGGTATTATCAAAAGTGAGAAAAAAAAACTCCGTGTAATACAATAAACACTAGAATAACGCTATTAAACATGAGTACTATGTTTCCGTCTTTTTTTTTTTGCACAAACAACAGACACAGAAACGTGGAAGCAAAACGACAACAGTAACGACAATAGAATGGATAGACTATAACCAAGAGTTGAACAATAAATCAATACGTACATATTCACGTACATATTGCTATTTGCATCTGATTAAAAACACTCACTGAGACGAGCATTTTGATTAATCATATGCGTATGCGCACATAAGAAAAAACAGGATTATTAACTAAACGTTTGGATCAGTACCAACTTAAGCCATTCATGTACATTTTTGCCTATTCTTTTTTTTTCTTATCGCATTTTTCGATTTTAAATCATTACACAGATACACGACAGCTCATTTTCAAATAAACTCGCGACATTACTGCTGAAAGAAAAACAAGGAATCGAAATAATTGGCATGCCAAAAACAGTTTTTTTCCAAATCCAGAAGAAAAGACTCGTTTACATATAGGTCGGCGCTCCAGCCGGGAGGGCACTCCTCGAGTGCTTCTAAGGTATGCAAGCGAAGACGCCACACGGAGACAAATTCGTAACCTTTGAGAGAGTATCAAACAAGAGGTCCTTTCGCGAGGGGAAGAACACTTATATCATAAGAAAATATATTAATAAAAAGGAACAATAGATCGTATGGCATTAAATAATAATAATAATATAACTATGATGGCGCCTATACATTGACTCTTCTTTTTCGTGTCTTTTATTTTCTTTTCCGTCACGGTGGGCTCCGCACCCCTCCCCCCCCCCCCTTTAGTCGCTGTTGCTACTGCAAAACCCACCCTGGCTGGCGGTGTTTTTCGCGTTTGGAAATTCGCCGAGGTCGAATAAATCGACACGCCGACGGCGCTCCTCCTTCACGCGCTCTAGCGTCGTTTGGATTTGATCCCGATGACCATGAATGTCGATGTCGTCGGTATCGGTGTCGTTGAGCTGACGAACGAGCTTGAGCTGCTCGAATTTTTGCTCCCCCAAGGCCTGCCGCAGCTCCTCACACTCGCACATCTTCTTATCGTACAAGCTCTCCAGCTCGGTGATCCATTCCTGAAGCTTCTGCATCTTTCGCTTGACCTTTTTCAGCGATTTGTTCCGGACCTTATCCTCTTTCATGCGTTCCTCCATGTAAGCGGAGACGCGCTCGTTAATGAGGTGTTGGATATTCGCGTCGCTCTCCTCGCGGAGGCGTCGGTGCTCCTCCGCGGCCTTCGCGGCGGCGGCCTGCGTCGCCTTCAGCTCCTCCGTCAGCGCCTCGACCTTCTTGTTATTCCGCAAAATGATTCCCTTCTGGATATCGAGGACGGAGCGGAGCTGCTCCACCTGCGCGTTGCGCTCCTCCAGCCTGGATTGGAGCTGCGCGACCTCGCCGACGCTCGCTTGGGCCTCCAAAAGGCGCCGCTTGAAGTCGCATTCGGCCTCGTGGAGCTGCCCGCGGAGCGTCGCGGCCTCCGCGGCGGCCACCGTCGTCGCCTGGCGTTGCTTCGTGAGCTCGCGGTAGA